GTCCTGTTCTGCATGAGTCTTGAACACTGCAATCGCAGCATGAGCCTTGAATACTGCATGCATTGTCGCAGCCATGAGTCCTTTTCTTGCTGTGGCCCTGTCGGCAGTTTTGCTTCTGCGGCAATGCCGCTTGCCGCTGCCTCGACCTCTGCAGAAAAAAAAAGCGTCATCGGCGTAGTTCAAAACGCCAGTTTTAAGCCCCAAATCACCGTTTCGGAGACCCGAGCTGGTCCCCGAAAACAAGGTTTAGCAGCTCCATTCCGCCGTGCACTTAAGTATGGAAACATACGGCCTGGCCAGTAGTTTCAGCACTTTCAACAAGTACCGTACATTCCTATTCTTCTTAAACGGTGGGTCCACCGCGGGTCCCCGGGCTACTACTACTACTACTACTACTACTACTACTCCTGCTGCTGCTGCTACTGCTACTACTACTACTACTACTACTACTACTAGTTGCAACAGTTGGCCAGCTTCGAGCAGCCTGAGAGGCTGCAATTACAATGCATATCATCATCCCTCCCCCCACCCCCCCACCCCGATTTGGAAGCAGGCAGCACTGAAAAGACCGAGAACATGTGGCAAGAACCATGAGAACCCTAAAAACATGCATTTGGCATGGGGCCGCGACTACTACTACTACTACTACTACTACTACTACTGCTACTACTACTACTACTACTACTACTAGTAGCAATAGTTGTAGTAGTTGGCTATCTTCGAGCAGCCTGAGAGGCTGCAATTACAATGCATATCATCATCCCTCCCCCCAACCCCCCACCCCGATTTGGAAGCAGGCAGCACTGAAAAGACCGAGAACATGTGGCAAGAACCATGAGAACCCTAAAAACATGCATTTGGCATGGGGCCGCGAGAGGGTGCGTGAGCAAGAACAACACAAAGTGTTGTTCACAGGGAACGGGGGACAACAACAGGGGGGGGGGGGAGTTGTTGTTTTGGAAGAACGGGAACAACAAGGGCGGGTTGTTGTTGTTCGAATAACAAGGGGGGGTTGTTGTTCAAGGAGGCAACAAGGGAGGGTTGCTGTTCCAAGAATTGGGGGGGGGAGCCATCAAGGGGAGGGAGGGGGAGGGGGGTGGCAGGGCGGCAGGGGGATTGCTATGGTTAGCGCACTCGCTTTGGGAGTGCCGCAACTGTAACCGTAAAACGACAAACTAGTGAAAACGTCTTCTCCAACACGGAACAAGGAGAAAGCCACACGAAATCGTTTGAGGGGGGGTCAAAAGCGCAGAAAATAAAGTGAACACAAGTGAAACGTTCCTTCCGACAGGCACAAAGGGCAAGCCAGGCATACTCGCTTTGACAGTCTCAAATGCGAAGAAAGCGAGGTCAAAATAAGCGAATCTTTCGTTCAAAAGCGAATATATGAAGAAAACGCCTTTTCCAACACACACTCCAATGCAGAAGAGAGAAAGCCACACGAAATCGCTTTAGGGGGGTTTAAGTTAACGGCGAAGAAAAAATCAAACATAAGTGAAACGTCCTCTTTGACAGACATGAGGGGGGCAGCCAGACGTACTGGCTTCGGGGGCGGGGAAAAAGGGGGGTCTAAGACGCATAGTGCCGCACTAATTGTGCTACTACGAGTGCTACCACAACCAGGAGTACCTAGTACTGGCGCAAGTACGACTACTAGTGCTACGAGGGGCGGGAACAACATTAGGGGGCGGTTCCGTTGTTGTTGTTGCTGCTGTTGTTGACGTACTCGCTTTGGGAGTGTCACAAGAAAAAACAAAGAAAACTGTGGCCGAATCTCTTTTCATTTTCGTAAAACGAAAAACTAATGAAAACGGAGAAAGCCACACGAAATCGATTTAGGGGGGTTAACAGCGAAGAAAATAAAATTACTAAAAGTTAACCGACAGGGGAGGGCTCCTCGGGAAAGGGGAGGGCCCTTCGAGAATAGACGAGGGAGGGGGAACAACACGTGTCAAAGTCAAAACCACTGCTTCGACCGCGAAACTGAGCTGGTGGGAGCGCACACCCGGTTTGACAAGCAAGCCATGTCATGAGTCCTTTTGTTTCCATGCAGCTTTTGTCGACCTTCGTAGGCAATTGACCACAAAGACATCGGTAAAGAGGCAAACTTGTCATTCCGACCTGACTTGTGGAACATTAATTCATTGCTAATTCGTCTTGAGTAATTGTCGGCTCGTGAATTTGGTGCTTAACTTCGTTGAGGTGTTGTCTCGGACTGATACTGTACAAAAGGCATAGAGGCCCGCATCGCGAGCCTCGTTGTCCGTGGACCGACCGACCACACAAGTCCGGATGAAGCCTGAAATGCGAAAACATCGGCAGGGATCAAATTTCCGCAAAATTCCTAAACTCCTGGCATCTATGGCACTATGGGAAGTGCCGAGGCTGTAGTTGCTCAGAATTTGAGAAAATTTGATCCCTGCCGATGTTTTCCTATTTCAGGCTTCAGGAATTTTGGGGACATTCGAGCCTGCCGATGGTTTCGCATCCGAGCTTGCCCATCTCCCATGATCCACTGCTTACAAAAGGCGGGCTCGGGTGGATCATGCGGGGGGTGAGCTACCATTACTACTATTACTACTATTACTACGATTACTACCATTACTACTATTACTACTACTACTACTACTACTACTACTATTACTACTGTTGCTACTGTTGCTACTGTTGCTACTGCTGCTACTACTACTACTACTACTACTACTACTACTACGAGCAGCAGCAGCAGCAGCAGCAGCAGCAGCAACAGCAACAACAACAACAACAACAGTCACAATGACCACGACCACCACGAAGACGGCGACAACGCAGCAGCATCCTAGCGCTAGCCAGTGAAGCATGCAGAAGTGAGAGAATTAAAACATGAAGCTCTGATTCCCACCCAGCTGTATCTCAAAACTTCTTGCATCAGAAAAGCAGTAGTTACGCGCAGTCCGGGGGTGCTTCCTCGCTGGAGCTATGCAGCAAACAGCACGAACCGTATCAAACGGGAGCAGTCATGACCTGTCATGACAGATCCAAGTTGCGAAGTGATGCCGCGTCGGCAGCTCGGCGCATGGAATGGCCAACCTTCAACTGGAATGCGAATCTTGTCCTGAATTGAACTGCGACATGCTGCGACGCAAGCAGCCTGTTGCATCCAGTCGGGTTCGTCTGGATCCTGACAGCAGCCAACAGCCGGGAAATGGCGAGCGCTGAGACGGATTGCCCTTGCAGGCTCCTCGGGAACCTCGAATGAAAGACCGTGCGTGACCACATTGGCAAAGAGACGGTCCAACCCTGCACAGACAGGCAATACCAAGATGCACCAAGAGCACCATGGCAACAAAGAAACTTTCGTCTGTTCTCCGTTCGGACCTTGGCCGGGTGCAGCTTCCTCGAGCGCTGCCCGGTAGTCCTTGGTGACCTGCCCAGCAGCAAAACCACCCTGCAACCAACGTCGATCTTTCTGGGAGCCGCACCAGGACTCGCCGTCCCCGACCCAAGCGTCGTGCACGCTGTGCTAGGAAAGCGACTAAAACCTCCAGTGAGGAAGAGGAACCTGAAGATGTCGAGCATAATCGAGCAGTCCAGCCGTTGGACAATGGGCAATCGCTATATCAAACAGCGCCTCCGACCCTCGCCTTCAGTGCTGCAAGTTTTGCCTTCCAAAGTGCATCGAAGCGCCGCTTCTTTCAGCTTTTCCCCAGAATGTTTCTGGTCCATTCTCTCCTTCGGATCGCCTTCGGCGCAGCGAAGGCCAGGGTGGCAGCGCCGTCCGGGCGGCCACGGAGACCACTCCGCAGCCTGCTCAGAAAGCACAACACAGGCAGCGAAGCGTGTGGTCTCTGGACCCTCTCCAGCCTGCGTGCCACGAAGGACCATCGCTCCTGCAGGTGCCCACGACTGGAGAGTGTACCCTTAAACAAGCTCCCGGATGTCTAAACTTACCTTTACACTCCACGTTTTTCTAATCTGATCAGGTCCGTCACGAAACATTGTAGTCGGTTTTGTGCACAGGGTTGCCTCAGAGGCTGATCTCCATGCGACATGCTGGTATCGCAGCACTTCGTTTGCCAAGGGCGAAGGAGTCGTGTTTGCTCACCAACTTTTGAGTAGTTGAAGCCCCAGCCTTTGAGCTGGTTCGTTTTCCTGGTGAACACAATTTTTGAGTTGGGGCTTTGAAGGGTTGTGGTTCACTTCAAGGTTTTTGGGGTTCTGTGGTGTATACCAATCAAAAGCCTTACCCGACTGCGTCGGTCACTTCGGGCCACCTGTGATGCTCAACTTAGCTTTCTATGGGGTCAACTGTCGGATGAGAGGAAATAGTGTTGGTTGGTGCTCTGGAAAGTCGAACTTCGTGGGTGGCGTTCGTGGCCGCTACGCTTCCATTCTGGCGGATTGGCGCAAGATGGTGCAAACAGCGAACATTGCTCCTGTGCGCGTGGCCAGGATGGCCACCATTCTTCGAAGCTCGCAGCCTCTTGGCATCCGGAGCAAGGCTGGGCCGAGAAGCTATGCGAATTCGTCAGCAAAATCATCAGCCTCAGAGTTCTCTTCAACGAGTGTCTCCTCAAAAGCCTTTTGTGCCGCAGCTCGCGAATGGCTGGGCACAGCTGGCGACTGGGCACCCTCCTGAAGTTCAGGCAAAGGCATCCGATCCACAACCTTGTAACGTCGGAGGATCTTGTATCACTTGCCGCTGTAGAATTCACGAACATGACACATGAGCCGTAGCACTCAATTTCGACTATGCCCAAGCTCAGCTGAACGGGTCCAGCTCAGCGTACATCCTTCGGAGGAACTCGGCCAAGCCAAATATGTCGCAAAGCACCTTGCAAGCGCGACTTCTTTGCATTCCATTGACTGGCCGGTGAACCTCTGCCTGGAAACCAATCAATCCTCGATCCCACCGCCAACGAAAAGGAATCATCAACTGCAAAAACCGCCGAGGTGCATGGTTGAAGGAAACGCCCAAAAGACCTCCAAAGATTCCCATGCATTCGCCATAAAAGTATTGCTGATGGAGCAGGCAAGAGGCAGAAGGGAACACAAAAGGCACCTCACTCCCACAAACCATAGTATGCCATAGTTTCTTCCAGACAAGTACTCATGTTTGCTTGGCACGCCAACAGCAGAACATGCAGAGTGTGGAGCTGTCGCGATGAATGAAATCATGCTGCACAAATCGCCAATCGGACTAGATCTAGGAATCTAGGATTCACACGCAGTCACCACAGCACTGACAAGCAAAGAAAGACGCAGGAATGGCTTCGTTGCCTCGTGCAGTGCCCTCTTCATGGATGAGCTTGACTCGCAGAAGGGGCTCTTCTTCTCCTTTGCATCTGCTGTTTCTTAAGCTGCTCAATGCTAGCTCCACGCATTGAACCAATTGATGCTTCAAGTCTGGCGACAGCAACACACCCGACCGTATCGTTGACCAAGAGTCGAGAGAAGACGGGGAGCCTAGACTCAGGACGACTTTGACACGGATGCTGTCCGATCACCGAGGCTTTACTCACGTGCGACGGGGAAGGTGAGCTCGAAGAGGAAAGGCCCTGCTCTTACCGACTCAGAAGATGCCCAGGCAGGCGTAGGGCAGACACGTGGGACGTGGGTCTCTGACGTGAGACAGCACGACGGCGGTCTTCGGCATGAAACTAGATGCTGGAAATCACCAAAAGCACTGAGACGGGATCCATCAGCTTCACCAACATCGAAGAAACCACATTGATCGTCTTGGCATGCTAGCTGCAACACCTGCAAGGGTCTGGGCAGCAACGCCGACTGCAGTACTGGGTAGTCACTAGCCAGGCACTGCACTGGAATGGCACCAAAAAAACTGTCCATGCCTCGGTTCCCGGCAAGCCGCAGGGCGGCACCGAAGCCATCGTAAAGGGAACCCCCGCATTGTTCAAGAAGATCTTCCATCTCCTCGTTGTTCGCTGGATGCCGACGGTACGGCTGTCGCAGACACCCCTCCCTCCAAAATTTCAAGCTCCCGGCTGCTGGCCTTCCTGCTTTACCTGCGGCAAAACTGCAGTAACTGCACCAAATCATCAACTATCAAGGGCACCCATCATGACAATCGACATCCACCTGACGCAAACGTCCCGCAGCTGCCGGGAAAGCAGCCAGCGCTTTGGCCAGGGCTGACTGCCACTGGGCAAGATCTTCGCCCACCTAAGACATGCTGGACGAATCATGGTGGCATGTTGCCGACACCCTGATGATCTCGAGCGATGCTAAGATTTATTGTCGCCAGTGCCGTCTGCAACGTGTGCCCGGCAAGATAGATGAAGGCATTTGGACACCTCCTCCTGCTCATGTCCCCCTCCCATGGAGGTGCTTGTTTTTCCTCTGTTTTCCTCCGTCCCCCGACCTGCCCGGCAATTCATTTTGTAAATACATGTGCATATACATATGCACATGCACATGTGCAACCATCTACATACATACCTCTCTGTCCATACACTCTCTCTTGCTCTCTTGCGTTCTTGCTCGCAGGGGTGTGAGGAGTGCAGCTCGCAACCACTCTCAAGCTGGCATTCGTCGTGAAGGGCATCTCCTGGAACGAAGACACGCCCTTCGATACTAAGTCGATGCCCCGACAAGAAACGAGCTAACTCGCCAAGACGGTGCCCTAGTGCAACTCGACGAGGATTTGCGAGGGTTCGGGGATCTGCCGAAGAGAGTACAATAATTCCGCATCCAGCTGAAATCGCGAGATTTCCTAGTGCAGGTGGGACCGACAAGTCAAAGAAGTGTATGGCAAGCCTGCACGTCGAAAGATGTCTCAACTGGCAACCCCTCTGCCCACATTATCACTAGGAGGATTCACCTGCCCCGTCTGCACCCAAAGCGGCTCTGGACTGTGAGCCGGGGGAAAAGTCAAAGTGAAAGTACCACCCCAAAGTCCTTGAGTAAGTGTTGCTGGGAATGGTCTGATGTATTGGCATTCTTGGTATACATGTGCGCATATCTATGTAATATGTATATGTATATATATATATATGAGAGAGGCTCCTTTAGGGTATATTTGACGCTCTACTGAACCCTATATTTAATTATTTTAATTATTTTAATTATTTCTTGACCCC